TCTAGCAATATCCAATATTTCCTCATTTTAAATATGTATACTCATATTACTCTTTTTGTACCACATCTTTCTTCTCATTAATGAAGTTTGACAATTTTTGTCAGGACAGAAAGAGAATTCATTATATTCAGTAATAGAAAACACATTTCTCATTTTTCTAGCAGTGAGCAGCTGCAATGAAACTGCCTATACCACTGTATCACCATTCTCTGCCTTTGTGATTCTTAAGGTCACCCTCAAGGGTCTTCAATCTCATGTTCACAGCTTGGCACCTGGTAATTTTCACAATCAGGAAATATAAAGAAGCTATATATTTTTACTCTAATAAGGAATTTTTTTCATTATTTATAAAGAAATAAATCTGTCAGGTTGAAATATTGAAGTCAGATGGTTCACTGTAATATATGCAGCAGTGTCAGTGACAACTTTGTTTAGCAAACTTCGGAATGAAAATTTCTGCATGACAAAGAAACCACCTTTCTCCTTGAAAGAAAGTGTTCACATGTATGGGAAGTGGAACTTATATTTTGATAGCAAATTAATTTTAAGAATAATTAATGGTAAAAGAACGGAAGGTGCTCAGCATTATTTTTTAATAGGTTACTCACTATTCTTGCTGTTACCAATTTCAGAGGACTGTATTAGCTAAAATGAAGCAAGAAGTCACTTCCTCTATACGCAGAATGCCCAGAATTAGTAACTGAGGAAGAGCTAAAATAGCAATAATATAGAATTCAGTCAATTTCCTTAAGAATTTCTTCAAAAACTTGCTTTGTTCTCTGTAGAGAGATGAGAGGGACTTCTTTGTTATGCAGCTTCATTTCCACCAAATAAATATTTCTTAATTTTTTTAAAATAGAGTACAAATATTCTCATTTTAGTTAAAATTTTGCTATCAGTGGAAATAGAGAGTATTCTGAATGTGAAGACATAACTAAAAGCCATAAAACTATTAGATAAATGGTATGCTGAGAAGCAATCTACTTTTTATTTATTTATTTTACTACTCTAACCCTCCAAAGTTTTCATTTTCCATATGTGGTCATTAAAAAATGAATTTGTTCCATCATTGTGGTAAATGTACGCAATGTAAACTGGTTCATAAAGTTAATGGCTAACTACCATGTTGTCATAACAGGTATGATCTGTGCTGTCTCATACCATCTAACCAGTTCAGACCCATCAGGACTTGCTTTCCCTCAGATCTTCTTACCAGTGCTGGGTCAACACATTCAGAGTCATTCACAGCTGTTGCAGGAAAGGGCAGAGGGTGTGAGATGCACTCTGTAATAGTGCTGCAGCAGAGGGAGCAGCAGTATTAAAAAGGAGTTTGCAATAATTAAGATTACTGTACTAATGAGGGAGACGGTGAGACAAAAAGAAATGCTTTGAGGACTGCTTTGCTCTTCCCATGTCAGACCTTCTGATGAATGACCAATCTTGCTGGGCAGCCCATACCATTGCCTCACCATTCCTTCTGAGACTGAATGTTTTCTAATATCCAAGCTGAACCTCCTCTGGCTCAAATTGAGGCCATTTCCTCTTGTCCTATCACTGTTATCTGGGAGAAGAGGTTAATTCCCATCTCACAACCACCTTCTTTCAGGTCTTTGGAAAGGGCAATAACGTCTCCTCTGAGTCTCCTCCAGGCTGAACAATCCCAACTCCCTCAGCCATTCCCCATGAGACTTGTCCTCCAGACCTTTCACAACTTTGCTGCCCCTCTCTGAACACACTCCAGGGCTGTGCTTCTTGTAGTGAGGGGCCCCAAACTGAATGAAGTACTCAAGGTGTAACCTCACCAGTGTTGAGTACAGCTAATGACCTCCCTGCTCCTGCTGGCTGCACTATTTCTGGTTCAAGCCAGGATCCCGTTGGCCTTCTTGGTTACCTGGACACACTGCTGGCTCATGTTCATCTGAGTGTTGACCAACACTCCCAGATCCTACTCTTCTGCACAGCCTTCTAGCCACTCCGCCCCAAGTCTGTATCACTGTCTGGGTTTGTTGTGACCAAAGTAGAGGACTTAGCACTTTGTCTTCTATCAAAACCCTAAGACTACTACATAGCAAACCGAGTAGCACCCTCACTACTGTAATTCTGTAGTTCTGTAACTTGGTAGCAAACTGGCTGCACAAACAGCTAAATATGTAAGTACAGACCACATCACTAGATGTCCTCCTTCAACAATTCTTCTCTTTCTCAGTTAGCAAACTGGCACCATGCTCTGCAAAATGCCCTGAAATCAAGCACAGCACTGCAAGACCACCAGTTCAAATTCAAATAGGCACAAAGAGTATTAGGCTGAATAACACTCTCAAGGCAGGTCAGAGATCTGCAGTTATGAAATAGGTTTTACAACACACAGATTTGCCCTAACTTCCCAGATTGTGCTGCCTGGATATAGACATATTCATATCAAATATGAATTCCCATCATCAGAACTGGATACATGTTCATAATCAGCTAATTATGCATGCTCCTGGTGCACCACTTTAATGCTCAAAACTGCTTTTTAAATGCTGATTTCATACAATAAATTGTAGGTTGGACAGCATATATGGAAATCTCTGCTACCAAACTCATGAACCTACTACAGAGTAGATTTAAACCATGAGAATAGCTCTTCATTATGGTGCAGTGGTAGATCTGTCAGGCACCACAGATTTTAGTTTTGCAGCACACTCTTTAGTTTTATTATTATTTCAATGCATTCAATCACTTAGCACATCCTTCACTTACAGATACATAGATTCACATACTAAAGTAACAAACAAGTTCACATTGCATAAATCATTATTAGTTATAATTAGGGAAAGATATAAAACAAAAGGAACAGAGTTATGTCACCAGGTTATCAGGTTGCCTTCCATGTTGGAGTATTTTAGAATCTTTTGCCTTGCTCATACTCCATCCACTTCACCTTTCAGCTACTGAGTGATTAATCAGAGAGCAGCTGTGGTCTTAAGTGCAATCACCATTATCCTTACTTTTTTTCATAACTGTCAGATTCTTAGATATTACTTCATGCTCATAACACTCAGCAATAGTTAAAACAAGAACTTGGTTTTCATCTGCTTACTCTTCATGTTTTAGAACAAAATCTATCAGAACAAAATTATTTTTAGCACCAAAGTCTTCCAACTGTGCTTCACACATTTCAAACCAAACATAGAACGTGATGGGAATGTACGGAGAAGTATATACTAAATTTTAGTGAAGATCAAAGAGCACTGATTTTGTTTCTCACTAGCTGTAGGTTCAAATTATTTTTTATGAAAGAATATTTAAAATAAGGAGTAAAATGCTGCTGGTACCTGCTGTCACTCTATCATTTTCATAGGAACAATGTGTATCTCAGAAGGCATATGAAAAATGTATTGGTAATTAATCACGTTGCCCCTTCAATGACAGCTGTCCCATTCTCTATGTGATATAGAGAGGTTGGAGGCATCTGCTGGAATCCTTTGAGGCAAAGGCTGGTGACTCTGGATGTGCCTCTGGGAGCATCACTGTTGCTGATGTTCATTGTCAGAGCTGTGTTTTCCTCTACCTGGAGCTGCAGCAGAGTGGATGCAGAAGAACAGAAAAATTGTAAAGGGCTTTCTGAAAGACCCTTTTCTGTTCCATCACACAGCAGCCTTCTTGGCTTGGTTCTCCATGCAACTATGCTCTGTCCGTGGGGCTCCCTGCCCATTAGTCACGGAACTGGGCTGAAGCAGCCTGTAAGTGACTGATTTTTTTTGTTCAGGCATATTTATTGTCTTAAAATGAAGTTATTTCTATAATTCATTTGGGTCAGAGTCTCTATCTCCCTCTCACGATGCAAAATTGAAAACCGCTTTAGGTGGTATGCATGTTCATTTTGTTGGTTCTGCCATCTCATCCATCAGCTCGAAAATCAGTCAGTTAATTTTCTTGCCTTCTGCCTTCTGCCTGTTGCTGCTTAGAAGAATCACAAAGCACTTTTTTTCCAAAACATCAGGTCTGCAGTGTGATAGCTCTGAATAACGTATTTGCTGAAAATTGGAGCTGAGTAGTATTGAAAAATGTAAAAAAAATATATATGGCTGTTTGATTTATTTTGCTATTTTTTATCCTGTTGAGAAATGACAGTGCATTTATAAAGTCAAGCTATGTTTACTGGTCAAGGAAATGGAGTAGTTTGACCGTGAAATCCTTTACATGAAACCCTGCCCTGAGTGCAATTTTTTCTTTCATATATGCTTTGTATTTTGGATCACATTTCTTATTTAATTTTAGAATGCTCTAAGAACATGTTGTCTACACATTTGTTATTTGAGCTGACATCGCATCTTGAAGCTGGACAGAAAAAATGTGGATAATTAGCTAGTTTATGGGGGTGAAAAAAAGATCTTTGAGAAAAAGGATAACTGTTGAAAATTCCATTTGAATTCAGAGTTTTTCAGTTCAAATGGAAAATAATGTTTTGGGTTTTTTTTAATTTATAAATATAACTTTTTAAAATTACTTTACATACCCTTGTTGCTTTTCATATCGTGTTTAAAAACATACATTCACTGACAGTTTCTAAACTTCCACTTGAATATCTAGGAATTTATCTAAATAGACTCTCCCCTCCCTTTTTTTCTTAATATCTAACTTGGTCTACTACACAGGCAGTACTAGTTAATGCTAGGTCCAGGGACTTTCTAGGAATCTCAGTGTTTCATAGTTCCTAGACTTTGCTAGTCTGATATTCATGCTTTTATTTAGGAAAGAATTCATTCTGAATTCAGAAGAGTTCTTTCTAAAATTAAAGGATGCTTAATAATCACCAGCACATTAAAAATGCACTGGAAGTGTTCAAGAACTGTGTGGATGTGGCACTGAGGGACGTGGTTTAGCGGGCAATATTGGTGGTAGGTGGATGGTTGGACTAGACGATCTTAGAGATCTTTTCCAGCCCCACTGATTCTGTGATTCTGTAACAGCATCCAAAACAACAGCAGTCATTTAACCAACATGGTGGATGTATGGGAACTGCTGAGTCACGGCCTGAACCTCTGATTGATCACCTGAGGCAAGCAATGAGTCAGCCCTGGGAGCACAGGTGAAGGCAATTCACCTGTGCTGCTGGAAGGTGAGGAGCCAGGCTCCACCTCTCCTAGACCCATTTAAAAGCTGACTGCCAGGGGGGAAGAATCTCTAGAAGAGAAGAAGATTTCCAGAAGAAACTCCTTTGGAGTTTCTTAAGACTGGGATAAGGGTAAGCACTCTGTTTATCCTTTTTCTTGGTGTAATAGCCTGCCTAGCCAAACTCTCTGGTTTATTTCATAATTATGACATCTGTGTATTCATTGATTATACAGTGGGGATGGGATGGTGATTGGACTAGGTGATCTTAGTGGTCTTTTCTAACCTTAAAGATTCTGTGTTTTTAAATGTGAGAGTGACTAGAAGAGCTGAAGTGAAGAGTGTGTGCTCTTTGCTTCTCCAGGCAAATACTCTCGTCTCAGATAAGTGTGAGGGGATTTGTTTGTTTACAACTCCATTTCAGAAGAATAATATCTGTTCTTAAGTAAAATTTGCATGTGGAAACCATACAGCAAAGCTCATTTAACAAGTGGAAGACTTGGGAAATAATGAGACAATATATTGAAATTACACTGATGGAGTGGGTATCCAGAATGTATTCTACATTTCAGTATACATTCTAACATGTTGATGTTTGGGTGATTCTGATGAGTAAACAAAACTTTTTCTTACTTAACTTTAAAGTCAGCATTTTTGCTTCCTTTAAGCTGCAGGGTACTGATGCAACAGTACTGGAATAGCTGAGAGTACCAGCCCTTCTAGGGACATTCATATTTCATCATGCAAGTTTTACCATTAATGATTTCACTGTACTGAAATAGTCATGAGAGTCATCTGACTGAGTCCCAAGTTTAGAATCCTCTGTATGCTAGCTACTCAATGATGAGGATATTTTGTCTGGGGAGCAATAAGCAGATCATAAATACCAATGCTGGAAGTGATGTTACTACGTGCATACACCAGAAGCATATTCAACTGAAAAAGTACTCAACTGAACAATCATATCAACAATTGATGCTCATATGGTCAAAATGGTCTGTTCTAGTAGAGCCTTATGACTTTTTTGCCTGGGAAATTATGCACAGTGGAGGGTATACTTTGATCGTAACTGTTTGCTATATAGTTTGCTATCTATGTTTGCTGGAAAACAGCTGTTGTATGGACAGGCTAAAGTCTGCCCTTGATTTTTTTTCCTTATGTGACGCTATGTATGTGAGTCCTACTTTAAATGAAGTGGTTTTTTTTAGTAAAGTGATGTTAAGGAAAAGAAAAATATGAACTTAAGACTAATTTTTCTTAGGTAGAAAATATTTGATATTTATACAATTTAAATATTAGTGGGTGCTAGGTAAGTGGGCAAGAATATTTAAATATTTTCCCCGTGTTTTCACAGGGATGTATTTGCAGAATCAAAACACTGCAACATAACAAATGCATCTAATATAGATTTTTCTGATTTCATAAATGCAAAAATCTCATTTTTGGTTTCCCAAAAATCAGGGTGTCAGTAACACCCTATCTTGAAGACCCTGGGAAGAACTTATTTTGCAATCATTGCTATCACACAACAAGTCATCATTAAATTGCACTCGCAGAATGGTTTGGGCTGAAGGAGTTGTTAAAGACCATCTAGTTCAATCTGCCTTGCTATCAGCAGAGACCCCTCCCACCAGCTCAGCTGCTCAGGGCCCCATCCAACCTGGCCTTGAGCACCTCCAGAGGAGCACCGCAGCTTCTCTGCGCAGCCGTGCCATTGCTTCACTGTTTTCTGTGGAAAGAGTTTCCTCCTAACATCTAATTTTTTTTCTCCTTTACTTCAATACCATTTCTCCTCATTCTATCGTTCCTTGATATAGAGTCCCCCTCCAACTTTCCTTTGTGACCCCTTTTAGATACTTTCTATTAGTGCTCTGTCACTGGTAAAAATGCAGTCCTGTCTTCGTTCTGTTCACTGGAAGCTGTCTTTCAAGCAGAAGTAGTTTAATACAGCACCTTTGGCACCTGACATTGTGTGATCAGAAGCCATTTCACAAAGTATACTGCACAGAGTGTTTCATAAATGGCATGAACCCTGAGCATTTTTCACTTCAGAAGGCAGTAATTCAGAATGTAATTGGTGTGGTATTCACCCTTCAAGAAGGACCGTTTGAGATAATAGGACAGAGATGAATGAAGGAACTCAGTGACACCAAGTTCACGAGTGTCTTGTTAGTATACCTTTTCCAAGTATCAGTGTCCTGCAACTTAGACACTATATGCATTCTCCTTCCATGGCGGCATTTTTCTATCTTTTTCCACTCTATTTTCTTACATTGTCATCTGAGCACATTGTAGTGATGCCCTAAGTAATGTGACTTCATCACATGCTATGTCTGTGCAGTTAGAGGATGAGAAAGGATGAGAACATAACAATCAATGAAACCTGGTTTTGATCCAAATCTCAGTGAATTGAATGGTGCCAATATGTGCAGCATGAAGATGTGGGTGATATGAAAAGAAATAAAGACCATATATTCAATTACATCTCATTGAAAAGAGATTCTGTGGAGCAATTCTTCATTGTACTCTGCTGAATTTTATTTGATGTACTTTAATTTAGTTTTATGTAATGGATATTGGAACCTAGAACCATAAGGCAGACTGAAGTAGTATCTATGAAGTTTTTTTTCTAGATGGAGTTCATGTCTTGTACAGGTCAGAAGCTCACTTCTTCCCCATTTTTCAGCAGGTAGAAAAAGTAATGATCACTGTTGAATTGTCTCCATTTACACAGCATTTTACCCTAAAATTATTTAATGTTTAGCAGTGGTGTCCAGCAGCTACCCTGACCTTGGCTGTTTGTTATATGCTGTTTGTAGGCTGAGGTGCTAAGGGAAACCATCTGAGAATAGTAATAAAAGATCATCTAGAAGCATTACATGTGCCATCTATGCCTTTTTGAGATGTATTTTGATATTTATCCTTTTTCTCTACAATACTAATTTGTGTAGTAATATTATGAGCCATTCTATGTATCAAAAATGAATATGGACAGCAGGACTAAAGCATCAACTTATTTTTATTTTCTAAAGCAGTACAGCAGCTCTTGGTTCACGGTTGTTAACTTCTGTGCAATTCTTCTCACGGTTTCATCTGTGATTTGAAGTCTTATTTCTTTTTTTGCTTTCTTTCTATCCTCAAACATGCTTCAACATCTAAGCATCAGAATAAGCTATGGGATATGGCTGCTTTGCATGACAGACACCAGTGATCATCATCATCTTCATTTTTTTGTCTCCTTTCTCCATTATTTGCATTGGTTTCAATTGAGCATTTGGTACAATATGAAGAAGGATGGAAGGATAGGGGTTCTGCTGGGTGAAAGAGTAAGTTTGCTCATTTGGGCTGTTTTGCAAGCTTTTGAGAGTTCTCATTGAAACATGAGGAAAGTATTGGTGCAGTATTTGTAAGTGTTGGTTACAGCAGTGGCGAAGAGTACAGAAGATTTTAGAGGACTGGTGCAAGATGTTTTGTTTCAGGTGAACTATCACCAACAAGCAGGTCCTTTTTTCTTCTGCCTAGAAAAGGGATGATTTTCATTTAGATAACTGTACTATGTGGGGGAAAAAATAAAAGAAAATAAAAAAGAAAATCTGTAAGTTTGTGAAAGCCAGAAGGTAGCTACACTCATAGTGCTGGAGTACTTGTTCACATAATGGCAAAAACCAAGTAGAGGTACACAGTGAACAAGATCTGAAAAATAATTTTGAACATGTCCATGGTATTGCTGTTCTGAAATTGGATCTCTGAATGCTATAGATGTTGTTCACCTTCTCAGTGTGACTTGTCCTGGCCTTTGGAAATTGAGTATTTTAATACTGGTAAATCAGCTATCTATATACCTACTTATCTATTATTATTTCTCATACTGAAAGACTTCAACAAGCCTTTGTTGCATATCACATTTTAAGTTCTCTTTTAGCCTTCAAAGTTATACTGATTAATTTGGTATATGTGATAGAATAATTATTTCTTGGCAGTAAATTGCAATGCATACTCACAGTTACATGGAATTTATCTTGCATGAAATCACTTCTATGAAGACAGTAATAGTTGACATGTCCTTAAAGCGTGTCAGCAGTTAATCCACAAAATGATCAGTGGAGAGAATGTCCCTTTTCCCTCTGGCCCTGGTTTATTGATATGTTCCCATTAATTATGTTTAATTTTCTGCTGGCAGTGCTCTCAATGTAAGCCGGAGTTAGCATATCTTCACAGATTTATTAATGGGTATGTTCACTTATATTGTGCAGCAGAAATATTTTATAATGCTCTAATCTGGACAAAAAGGCAATGCCTTCCCAATTAAAACATTATGAGGAGTAATTTTCCCCTATTACTAACCTGATAGGTCAAGTCACACAGTGGGAGGTATCTATCATTCTGAAATTTTATCCAATCTCTTTCTTTGGAAGCTGCTCCTCTCCATGTCTGTTTGCAGACAACTTCCTCTGCAGTTCTGACTGTATGTAGCTTCATTTTGTTCCTGTCCCAGAGGCTGCTTTGTGTGGAGCCTGACAGGCTCCCACCTCTTATATGAAAGTGTGTCTCCAGGGAGTCCTTCTGACAGTTTTAAGGCTGCCTTCACAGTATGGTGTATTTAAAAAAAAAAAAAAAAAAAAAACCTCAGAAAATTTAGTTATATTTTAAAAATTTCTGCATAAATATCTTAAATTTTGCAGCTTCCTTGCGGAGCCAGATGCTCCTGTTGAGACCAACTGCATACTAGGCTACTCTACTACAAGCATGGATGGCAGGCCAAGAAAAATGATTTTTTTTTCCCCATGAATTTTACACTCATAAAGCAGTGTTTTAAGTATAGGCAGCTCTGTACCCTTTCATTGAAGGAGAGATGTCGACAACCTGAAGGAGGGGACCATCGAGTGGTCTGAGGGCTGGAGCGTATAACTTGCAAAGAAAGGTTGGCAGAGCTGAATCTTTTCAGGATGAAGGAAAGAAGGCCAATGGGGGACATAAATGATGCCTACTCAGCCTCCTGTGTGCTTGTAGAGATTTTTCTCAGAGATGCACACTGATGGGACTAGGGACACCAGCTGTTGGAAATCCACCTGGATTTAAAATAAAATTTCTTTGTGTTGAGAGAGGTTATAAACTGGAACAATTTGCCTGGGAAGACTGGGAACTCCTTCAGAAGAGTAGGAGAGAGCTCTAAGCAGCCTGATCCAGCTGTGAAAGGAGCCCTGCTCCTGTGGATGATGATGACCTAGCTTTGCTCAGAAAAAGACTGGAGCAGGTATGTAAAGACAAGGCAATGGCCAGAATACAGAATTAATCTAAACAAAAAGCTCTAAACATCCTGCCTTTGATGTTAATATGATACTACTTTATTCTTGACTCCTTCATTCATGACCCAGTGCTTGGTTAAATCATTGATTTTAAGATGGTTTTGTGTCAGTACTGTAGCAAGAGGTAAATTGTTGATGTCTGGGTAGTTCTCTGATAAAAATGATTGATTTTCTTTTCACGATTGAAATAGTCCAGATGAAAAACAATGTGGTGAGATACACCTACCACGCTGTAAGTAGAACAGAAGTTCTTTATTTGGTGTTCAGCAGCTGCAAACTGACTTATTTCCCTTCTGTTAAATGGAAGTTGAGATGTAAAAATAGACATTGGTGTTTATTGGAAGCTTAAATCTGCTGATGTTTTATAGATCTGGAAAGTTTTGATTGCTGTGCATTAAAACAACTGTCACATTGTTGCATAAATTAATCAGAATGATGCACTCTGCCACAAGGCCTGCTTAAGATATTTATTTTGAAAAAGCATTACCAAGGTTAGTACTAAAGTAGTAACAGCCAAGGTTTTGAGCTGCTACAATTACAAGCATTCTTCTTAGAATCTTCTAAACTTGGCCAGATTATATTACCAGTGTCTTAGCAACCAGGAACCATCAGACAGGTTCTGAAAGAACGGAAAATCAGTACTTAAATATCCCGTGCATGCCAGGAAAACTAGAAGAATATGGCAATCCTTTGAGACTTTTTAACATTAAAGGTTGTGATCTTGAGTGAAGGATTTGTTATAGGTTACAGTGAGGAACTCTGCTCATTGCAGCAAGTGGCAATGGTGCACCAGACTTATCCACTCTTAGTGAAATTCAGCACTGGTTGGCTGTTCTTGGAGATTTGTTTAAAGCAATGCTTTGAGGGTGGATGTCGTGGCTACTTTTGCTTGCAGTACTGGATTAAGTTACAGAATTTGATCACTGCTGTTTCCTCTGCTTTCAATGGCAAGTATCCTTTCCCCTCTGAAAGGGCTCTCTGAAGGAAAATAGAGTACATGCCTTAAGCAAAGATACTTAAAGATTGAAGGCCTTCTGCTAGAAAATCTTCTACAATATATATATAAAGATAGATGGCCATTATAAACCACCAAGTGCATTTACTTGATGGAAACATTTATTAAACACCTACAGGAAAAAAAAATCCCCACTTTACAACTTTTATTTAAACCTACAAAAAAAGAGTAAGAAAAAAAAATAAAGATGAGAATACACCTAAGAGTGCAGCATTAGCTTTCTTATGCAAGCAGTGTTATCATGGGAGAACAGCTTTGATGAAAACTTCATGAGTTGCAATATTTAAAAATAGGCAGTTAAAGTAATTCTGTAAATTATCAGGAATAATTTGTGTAATCTGTTGTCCAGCATAACAATGAAGAAAAATCTTTGAGAATAAGAATGTTTCTCATCTTTTTTGCCAAAAATGTCTGCACCCACAGAAGTGTAATTTTCCGCCAGTCACTCATGGATGGGTAAAAATAAATGTACTATCACACACAGAAAAGGTACGTATCTCAAAATGTACTGGTATCACAGTGATTCTGAACAAAAATCTTGTGGATTAAAATGTATTTAGAAGAGACATTGCTATAAAAATCTGCCAGCATATACAAATGTTTCAAGAGAAGATGGGATTGAAGTGTGAGAGATGGGGGGGGGAAAAAAAATGGAAAGAATGAAATCCTCTACAGTTTAGGGGAGCAATTAAAGGCTGTGCAGGGGAAATACAATAAAATGGGTGTAAAATTCCTTGCAGTGGGGATCAGAGCCTGGCCCAGGTACAAACAGCAACTTAATGAATGATATACAAATTCTTTAGTCAGGCTTCAAGAGCACCCACAAAAGGTACGTACATGCATCATCTGCTTAACAGGAAAGAAAGTCTTGGTACAGTACTTTCTTAACATTTCTGAATGAATTTTCTGAATGAAGTTCTGCGTTTTTGTGCTACAAGCAGCAATGCAAGATGGCAGTGCAACATTCACACACACTTTTCATCTTCCTCGGCGCTTGGCTGATTGGAGCATCCAGGCAGATGCATTAGGCTAAGCCACTTCATATCACAAGATACAACTCAGGCTCTGCTCGCTGCTGGATCGCTCACTTCTGCTGGTTTAACATGGGTCTGAGGGGCCCTTTGTTGACATCCTGCATCTCTCCAGTCATGCTGCCCCCAGTACTTTATCCGTACTGGTTTTGCCCTTCAGTGTTATTCACAGCAGGTTACAGAAGGACAGAGAAAACTCCCTCCAATCATGTTAGTGATAGAGATAACCCATCTTGCAGTCTGAAGTCAATCAGTACACAAACAACTCCTCAAAAATGCCTGGAGTGATGTGGAGCCTGAGAAATGGGGAGGAAAGGTATTCGTTATCCTTCTTTGTGAATTAGTAATTAAGGATATATGTTAATCAGTAATGAATTTAAGTTAATTTCTGGAAGTCAAGCCTGTTTTGCCCATAAGAGCAGTTGGTGTTGGTAAGTGACTTCCCTGCGTATTCCCTCGAACCATGAGCTTTCCTATTTGTTTGCTATTGGGGCCAGCTGGGGCTATCCTGCCACACATTCCCAGGGAAACACGAGGCATTTTTCAGCTTTTGGCTTAAGGCCAAACATTAGTTTGTGCACTCCTGCAAGTAAGAACACAGTGCACTAGTTCAGTGTGTATCAGTGCACTTTGCACCACCGACACGGGCTGTCTGTGCTGCCTCTCCATGTCTGTGCATTGAACTTCGCACTTGAAATTTAGAAGCAAGAATTTCTTTTTGATGACACCATTTGGTACTTTGTACAGCTATAAAATGATAGCTTTCACAAGGCTGAGTAAGAAAGCATGCTTATCTTTTCCAAAGTCAACTAAATCCTGTGCTGCTTTTGTAAGAGTATTCAGTTTCTACAAGCTCGCCAGAATGATAACACAGGAGATCTTACCAGTGCTTATAAACATTGACAGGGAGGGAGTCATGGTGGATGGGGCCAGGCTGTTTCCAGCAGTGCCCAGTAACTGACCAAAGGGCAATGGGAACAAACTGGAGCATAGGGCATTCCATATGAACATGGAATGGAAACGAACATGGAAAAACTTGCTAACTTTGAGGGAAATACTCAAGACCCATCTGGACTCTTTCCTGTGCAACCTGTTGTAGGGAACCTGCTGTAGCAGAGGGTTGGACTACATGATCTTCAGGGGTCCTTTCCAACCTCTATGATTCCGTGATACTGTGATCCCCACATGGCACTTTTCCTCTTGCATTGGCTGTTGAACAGCCAGAAACTGCTTTCTGCAGCCAGCCAGCTATTGATCCACCTCCCTCCCATCAGAGATGCACTTAATGGGAATTCCACAAGCAAATAAAACTCGCATTTCATCTTCATTTTCATCTGAAATATGAGCTGATCCCTTGTACTCTAGATAGCCTCTTATTACTCTTTCCATCATTGATACTTATGAGTTGAACATAAAATGACTTTCAACTGTTTAACTGAGGCAGCAGTTGTCACTGTGACTGTAATTACTGCTGCACTGAGGCCATGAGTCAACAAAAAGTATCCTTAAAATGCAACTGTGCCACAGCTGGAGAAATGTGCCTGTTTGTGTTCATAGGGACATGGGGAGAAAAAGTGTCCCAAGTGTCCAGTGAATTGCAGTGAAGCTGTACACAAAGGCTTTTCTCCTTCTCCTGCCTTAGTATCCTAGAAGTAATTTTTACGATAATCTCTTTTGTGCTTTTAAATATTTTTCTTCACTGAATTATTAGCAGCTAAACAGATAGAAGAAAGTGCTGTCATACACAGAAAGGGAAATTTATTTGTAATTGATCCTGTGGGGAAATATTATTGTATGTAGTTATTGACTCATAAACTACAGTATATCTCATCTCAACAATAGCTGATGTCTCCATTTCTCTGCTGTAGATCTTGTAACGAAAATCATAAATAACATGTGCTAATGAGATATGAATTGGTGATGTTGGAAAATCCATCATTCTGCATGATGTTTAACAGTGGATTACCAGCCAGTAATTCCTCTGAGATTAAATAAAATAGGCTGTTTCAGCAGGCTAGCTCAAGGAGATGGCAATAAATCTACTCAATTACTGTACTCCCAATCCATTTTTCACTGCTAAGGATATTATTATTTCATTTAGACTTGTTTGTGCATCATAGGCCATTTTATTTCAGTCAGCCAGGGAAACTGCGGTATTTTTCTCACTGAGCTGTGGAGACTTGGGCTTTGATAAAGTACGGTATAAGAAGCACAACAGGACTCAAGCTTCTATCAGAACAAAAACACATTGCTAAATGCACATTTTAGAAAGTACAGTTTTGTTTTCAAACTAGATGATCTGAAAAGATTCACTAATTGCCTGAGATGGTCAATTGGAACAGAATTATCAGATCCTCGGTAATGATTTGTCCTTTACCTTGATCCTGTAGTATACTGAGAGTTAGATCATTATTTGGCCTGGTGATTTAGATTGCAAATAGCTGTAATTCAAATAATAAAATAGTATCATAGAATAATCATAGAATAGTTTGAATTGCAAAACATCCTTAAAGATCATTTAATCCAACTCCCCTACAACAAACAGGGACATCTACAGCTACACCAGGTTGTTCAGAGCCCCATCTCTTTTTTTGCCTCTTTCTTGCCTAGGGAAAGATACACAGAAACTTTATTAGTGAAAGTCTACCATAGAAAGTTGTTTTCCTTGCTAGGCAGACCTTAAAGTCCTGATAATCCTCCCATCCTCACAATAAAGCCTGGAACTTTGCATTCATTGCCCATGCTCACCCCAGAGTGCTTAATGTCTTCAGATATACATGGCTTTGTGTAATGGTTCCCAGAAGACCATTCCTTAGTGTTCCCAGCAGGCTTCCAAAGGGCCGTAAGAGGGATCCTACCTCCTCCATGCCACCATGATGCAAGAAGTTCATATGAAGTTCACACATGAGCTGAGAGTGATCTGAGCCCAAGCTCAATGTTTTGGGGTCAGTGTTGCTTTTAGTGGGGAACTTCTATCCTAACCAGCTGCATAGGTACTGGAAAAGGAGCCTGCAGCCAACATCTCTCTTGCAGGTGCTCCTGGGTGAGCACCTGGATCTAGACATCCTCTTTTTACCTCCCTATTGGTTTCTACACGCCAATTTTCATAAAAATATGGGGCTGGAGACCCCGTGCTGTTTGACTGAAAAAGCCCCACATCCTCCATCTGAGGAGCCCCCAGTGCCTCCATGTGAAGCCACCAAAAAAGTACCTATAGCTTATTCAGCAAAGCTATTCAATAAAATCTTAGGCATTTCTGTCTCTGATTTTGTGCTATCCTACTGCTCCATTCACAGCTTTCTGCTGAGTGTCTGTGGTGCATCTGCAGGTAGAACATGCAGAAGTGGTTTACACATTTCTTTGATTTTTACAATTGCAGTACAAAATAATTGGAAATAATACACT